TATTTATTTATTTATTGGTACCAGGGATTGAATTCAGGACCTTGTGCTTTCCAGGTGGGCGTTTATGCCACTGTGCTATCTCCCCAACCCAAAAATCAGCATGTTACTGGCAAAAAAACAAACAAACAAAAAAGACCTGAGGATCAATGGAACAGATTAGAAGATGCAGATACAACTACAAATACCCTCAGCCATCTTATCTTTGACAAAGGGGCCAAACATGTTCACTGGAAGAAAGATAGCCTCTTTAGAAAATGGTGCTGGAAAAACTGGCTTTGTACATGAAGAAAACTAAAACTAGACCCAGGTCTGTTGTCATGCACTAAACTAAAGTCAAAATGGATTAAAGATCTAAACATTAAAACAGAAACACTAAGTCTTCTTGAAGAGAAAGTAGGTGGAAATCTTGAAAACATAGGGATAGGCAGACAGTTCATGAACAAAAACCAAACTGCATGGGGAATATTGCAAAGAATCAACAACTGGAATCTTACCTTATTGAGAAGTTTCTGCATGTCGAAAGAAATCACCAACAGAGTGAAAAGACAACACAAATTAGGATAAAATCTTAACTAATAATCACTCAAACAAAGGTCTTCTACCTAGAATATATAAAGAACTAAAAAAAAAAAATTAGGCCCTCAAAATCTAAAGACCCAATCCAAAAATGGGCATCTGAGATGAATACACATTTCGCAGAAGAAGAAATACAAGTGGCAAATAAATACATGAAAAAATGTTCCACAGCACTGGCCATTAGAGAAATGCAAATTAAAACAACATTGAGATATCATCTCATCCCAGAAAGAATGGCTATCATAAAGAAATCAACTAATAACAAAAGTTGGAGAGGCTGTGGTGAAAATGGAACCATTCTCTACTGTTGACAGGAATGTAGACTGGTACAACCACTATAGAAATCAGTGTGGAGACTCCTTAAAAAACGAGGACTGGAAATCCCATTCAAACAACTATTCCCCTTCTGGGTATTTTCCCAAAAGAACTGAAAACATCACGCTATAGTGATATATGTGCATACTTGTTTATAGCAGCACAATTTGTCATAGCCAAATCTTGGGAACAACCAAAATGCCCATCATCTGAGGAATGGATTAAAAAATGTGATATTTTTATACAATGGAGTATTACTCAGCTATAAAGAAAGACAAACTCGAAGACTTTATAGGTAAGTGGATGCAACTAGAGGCTATACTTATTTATTTATTTATTTATTTTTATTTTTATTTTTTTTTTTGGAGGAACCAGGGATTGAACTCAGGACCTTGCACATGCCAGGCAAGCACTTATTCTACTGAGCTATCTCCCCAGCCCCCCCAAGAGGCTATACTTATAAATGAATTCAATCAGATCCACATGTGTAAATATCATGTCTCCCTAGTATAAGAACCTGAAAGAAAAAATAAAACCTGAAAAGTATAATAGATATAGTAAAACAGAGAGAAATTGAAGTTCAGGATTAAACAATGAAGACAAGAGGAATGAGAAAAGATAGGAAAAAAGGAAAGGGAAAAACATACAAGTATATATACAGGATGGCTGAGATGACTGTACTAATAATTTCCATCTTTTTTGAATATAGCAGTTAATGTTTAAAATTTTCACCTTGATTAATTCTATACGCTAATATCTGCTATCTAAGCAACGATATCGAGAACAGCAATGTGTAACACAAAAACCATTCTTGAAAACCTCTCATCTTGGTCGTCTTTTTTTTTTTTTTTTGTCTTTGTAGTAGTTTTTTTCCCATAATTTTATTCAGAAACAAATAGCAATGAGACAGTTTCAAATCAAATTGGTAGGACAGTTTCAATAATTAACACATTGCATACTCTCTTCCTAGTGGGTTATCCGTTGTACAATCATCTTGGTCTTCTAAATATGTACCATTTCTAATGTCTAATGAATTATTATATTCTCGTTAAAATAAAATTTTAAAACAAAGTAAAAAAAAAAAAGTGTGGCCATCAAGATAGCTCAGCAGACTAAGCGCGTGCTTAGCCAAGCACAGGGACTGGGTTTTGAATCCCAATACTGCATGCCGCGCCGGCCCTGCCCCCCAGGAGCAGTAAGCTGGCAACCAAGTTTGAGTGTGGTGGTACACCCTGTAATCCCAGCACTAGGGAGGCTGAAAACAGGAAGATTGCTATGTGTCCGAGCTGCATAGTGAGACCCTATACCAAATATATATAAATTTTATATTTATTTATTTACTTATTTATTTATGGTACCAGGGATTGAACTCAGGACCCTGCACTTGCCAGGCAGGCACTTATTCTCTAAGCTATCTCCCTGGCCCTACAAATTTTTAAAAACACAAGAAAAATATTAAGATTTCTTGAAAGCAAGTGGTAATATTCAATTATTTGTCCAATCTTGCATAACTATATCTGTTAATCTGAGCAACAGATTTGATGATTAAAAATAGATAATAGAACAACCATTGTTAATTAGTTATTCTTGTTTTGAAAATCTGTAACATATGTATTGCTGTATGTTACCCTGTTTCTATCTTTGTTTCTATTTGGTTTTGCTTTTGTTTTTACTATTCAAAATAAAGTTAAATTTTAAAAAATCCTGATGGCATGACATCTTATCAATCAAGACCAAACATCTTTTCCTCACAAAACTACTTACGTGTCCAGAAACCCTAAAGACATCTCCTCTTATACACATTCTCTGGAAAACTAGACACTTAAGGAAAAAGAAATTTATCTGGAGGCTTACTTCCTAAATACAGATTCTGTCATTTCCCCTAAGACACTGTCTTTAGTCTTCTCATACCAATTACAAACCCAAAACATCTCTTCCCTACTGGTCATCTTCCTCAGAGTCCAAACAACTAGAATATCTCCCAATTCAAAGGTTCTAGCTAACAAGAGTCAAGCTTAGGACTGTAAACCTTTAGGACATCAGCCCATAGTTGAACAGTCCTATTTCCCAGTTTTATTTACTGGTCTATTTATTAACAGACTTTCAGCATAACTCACCAAAAGCTAATATGCTTCGCTTTACAAAAATAATATAGCCAACTTCCTAGATTTAATATATCTGGTATTTATGTTGTGTTTTATTTTTTCTAAGTAATTTTATATGGGTTTACTCCTTTCATCAGGAAGCACTGCTCTTCCACAACAGCTCAGGAGAACCATTGCTCCTTTATCTTTCTAAAGCTCCCAAACTGACAGATTAAGTTACCATATAAACCTTTTGCACTGGGGAGGCATATGTCTGTAAGCACTTGTGTGGCTGGGGCAGAAGAATCACCATGAGTTCGAGGTCAAACTGGGCCACATAATAAGCTCAAGACCACCCTAAACTCTGTCTCAAACAAAAAACAAACAAACAAATACATCTATCCACCCATCCATCCATCCACTGAACAAGTCCCTAGAAGGACCAGAAGCAGAGGGGAACAACAGAGGTAAGAAAAGATGCCACGTCAAGCTGCAAGGCCAAAACAATCAGGCTGTGACTGGGCTTTGCCTGTTCGATGGATTTGCCTCATTCCTAGTAGACTCTCAAACTTACCCAAACCCAGCCTCTAACCTAGGCATCAGATCACTGGGTCCTATTTCTATATACATCTGCTATTTATATTTCCTTTCATTTCTCTAATATTCTCCAAGTTTCTGTATTTCTGTGCAGAGAGAGACATACCTTTATCCAAACTGAGATCCACACTGGGCACCGCACACAAGTGGTATTTCTTCCAGTCAATGAAATAAAAAGTATCTTTGAAGACACTGGTACTTAGTTGGTCCTCATTTGACAACATCAGAGGCAGACCTGAAGGTCCATATAGAAATATGTACAGTTGCTAAAGAAAAATTTTGAATTTTAGCTTTCTGTGAGTATATATTCACTTATATAAAATAAATATAACACTAGCTTGGCTCACATTCCTGGAAAAAAAAATGGGTGTTATATTATATATTAAGCCTTTTCCACACTGAAAAGTCATGAAGCACCTGAGAAAAATCCATTAGGATCGTCAGAAATATGTTCAGGTTTAAAGAATAGGAGCTACAGGTGGAGAGAGTATGAGAATAGATTAATTTACTTATCTTATTCATCCTGGTCCTAGAACTGAGTAGCATAACAGGGAGTACAAAGATGAATAGCCATATTTAACATCTATTCTCAAGTCAACATATTTATAGTGTCTTAGTTACTTCCTCATCGCTCTGACACAACTCCCAACACCCACAATTTAAAGGAAGGAGAGGTTTATTTTGGCTCAGTTTGTAGAGGTTTCAGTCCATAATAGGCTGGCCCCAAGGCAGGGCGACATAGCAGAGGAAGCTTGCATAAGGCATGGCAGTAAAGCAGGGATTGATCAAGGAGGAGGGAGAGAAACAGACCCCACCAGGCCAGGGACCCAGTGACTCATTCCTCCAACCAACATCACATTCACCTATAAACACTTCAGTGAATTAATTTACTGATGAGGATCATATACCCATGATTCAATCACCTCCCCAAACCCCCACTTATGAACATATGAGGGTTTGGGGGAACATATAATATAAATCATAACATATAATCTCAAAGTACATAAAGGAATATTTGGCAAGGGCAGGCGGCAGAAGCAGAAGCAGAAGGTGGTGCAGTGAGGGAGCTCAAAACCCAGGCAGGGCTTGTCCCGGGAGCCACACTACTCACCATTCCAGGTCACAGCACCAAAAATGATAGGTTTTAACGGGGTCGCAGCAGAGAAACATGCAGAAGGAAAGAGGAAAGGGGCTTTATTATAAAGGAAAAGGGACTTCATTATCTTAGAGGACACGGAGAGAATTTGGGAAGATAAGAAATTCTCTAGATTAGAACAAAAGGAGGCTGAGGGTTTTACGGCCTTAGTCAGGGGTGGGGCTTGAGGGGGAAGTTTAGATATACCTGAGGAGCTGACTGGGGCCTTCCCTGAGGTGGAGAGAAAGGTGAAAGGAAACTGCATCCTGGGCTGAGTTGGAGAAGAGGGGAAGTGGTCTCTGGGAAGATGAGCTATTGTTTTAAGGGCATCAGCCATATTAGATGATCACCATAATAATTCAGCAATTCTTACTAGGGCCATAACCTATCAGAGACTAAGGGAAAGAACACAGAAGACTCAGCCAGGTCAGGGGCACAAGAAGTTGAGGATTGTGTCGTGCTGCTTACTTTCATGTTCAAACTTTGGGATTTTTTGTTATTGTTGTTTTTGTTGTTGTTGTTGTTGGTTGGTTGGTTGATAGGGTATCAAAAAAAAAATAAAAATAAAAATAAAGGAATATTTATTTGGTCTTGCTACATGTTCGGACTCATAGTGATCCTCCTATTTCTGCCTCCCCAGTGCTAGGATTACAGACATGGGCCACCACACCTGGTTTCGGTGGCCAGTGGGCCAGCATGCATGTGATGCCGGGGATGGAAACCAGGTCCTTGTGCTTGTCAGGCAGGTGCTTAGACCACCAAGCTACCTCAAACTTATAGTAAAAGTAGAGAGCTAAAGAGCCAAACTATGATTATCTTTTAATTGGGTTGTTTAAACTATTTACATTTAATAGGAATACTGACACAGCTAGGGGTTTTGTTTTTTGGGACAGGCTCTTGCTATGTAATTCAGGCTGGCCTTGAATTCACTATGTAGCCTAGGGTAGCCTCAAACTTACAGAGATCTTCCTGCCTCAGGTTCCCAAGTGCTGGGATTACAGGCATGTGCCACCATACCTGGCAACAGTTGGGCTTAAATCTATACCCTTGTTATCTTTTTCCCATTCATTTGTTCCTAGTATTCTTTGTTTTCCATCTCCTATTTTCTATTCTTGGATTCTATTTTCAACTGAGTATGTTTTTTAGAACTCCATTTTATCCCCTTTCTGGCACATCAAAACAATCTATTGTAAAAGCTTAGGGATTGCTTTACATTTTATAGTATACAATTGTAATTTATCACAGTCTACCATTAAGTGACATTCTGACAATTCACCTGTAAGAATCCAACAAACTCCCCCTCCCACCCCAATCTTGTGCTAGTAGTGTAACTCATTATACTTCTACATGTTATAAATCTTATAAATTACTTTTTGCTTTAAGCAATTACCTTTCAAAGGCTTATATAAAAGGACAAAAGTATTTACCCAAAGTATCTACCCACAGTTACCACTTTGTGTGTGTGTGTGTGTATATATCTAGATAGAGTTCAATCTGGTACCATTTTCTTTCTACATGAAAGATTTCTCTTAACATTTCTCATAATAGGCCTGCTGTGATGAATTCATTCACCTTTTGTCATTGTTTTTTTTTTAATTTTATTTATTTGTGTGTGTGTGTGTGTGTGTGTGTGTGTGGCCAGCTCAGCCCACCAGGGGGCAGGTCTGGCTGGCATGTGGTGCTGGAGGATTGAACCGCAGTCCCTGTGCTTTGCTAAGCTTGTTCTAAGTAGGTGCTTTAGACCACTGAGCCATCTTACCAGCCCCTCATTCACCTTTTGGATGTACAAGAAAATTCTCATCTTGCCTCCATTTTTGAAAAATATTTTACTGGGTATAGAATTTTTAATTGACCGGGTTTTTTCAGTATTAAAAAAAAACTCCACTGTCTAACTGACAATTTTTCCAACAAGAAATCTGTCATAATGTTTATCCTGTGCCCATTTATGTATCTTTTTATTTTTATTTATTCATTTTTGTATCTTTTTATACGAGGCTGCTGGGGCTGGGGAGATAGCTCAGTGGAATTAAGTACTTGCCTGGCAAGCGCAAGTTCCTGAGTTCAATCCCTAGCACCACCAAAAAAAAAAAAAAGATTGTATATGAGGTTGCTTTTAAGATTTTTTTGCTTTATTACAGCTCTCAGAAATTTGGTTTTGATGTGTCTTTGTAAAATTTCCTTCATGTTTCTTCAATTTAAAGTTCACTGCCCATAGATCTACAAGTTTACAGTCTTAGTCAAATGTTGGGTCCATTACTTCTTCAAATACTTTACCCTTCCTTCCTTTAGGACTCCAGTTACACAGCTATGAATTGGGCCACCTGGAGGTGTCCCAGAGTTTCTATTCTGTCTTCAAGTTCCGTAATTGTTTTGCAATGTGTAAATCTGTCGTTAATCTTATTCAGGGTTGTTTTCATCCTAAAAATTGTATGTTTTATCCCTAGAAGTTCAATTTAGGTCTTTTATTCTCCCTTTCCCTAGCTCCTTTGATGCTTTTATAATATTTCACTATATTTTCCAGCTTTCATCTGAATTAATTAACTAATTTATTTATTTAGCAGTACGAGGGACTGAACTCAGGACCCTGAGCTTGCCAGGCAGGCGCTTATTCTACTGAGCAATCTCCCAGCCCTCAGCTTTCATCTTCAATGGGAATGTTGGTCTGAATCACCGAGTTTGCCATCTGCAGAAATCCTACCAGAGTTTTCCCAAAAACATTCTCTTTATTAAAACCTCACCACTTCAGAGTCTTTACTGACTAAATTTCAGTAACATTCCCATCACCCTCTAGCTCAGCACTTGCTTTATTTATCTCACTTCGCTTATCACTATTTAATACATACTAATAAAATGTAAAATCTGAGAGGACAAACTTTTTTCTTCTTATTGCTTCTAGAAAATGGAATTAAGTGGAGTAAGAACCTGTATTTTTGATGCTCTTCTGTACTATCTAGAAATAAGAGGAAAAAAACATGTTTTAAAATATAAAATGAGCATACAGTCTTTGTTTTGTCCTTCCCTCTTCCCTTAAAGATATTCTTAGCTAATACCACATTGTGCCTCTGGTGTTCTTACTTTTTATTTTTTGGCAGCGCTGGAAATTTAACCCAGAGCCTCATGCATGCAAGGCAAGCATTCTACCGCTGAGCTACATCCCCTCCCTGTTCTTGCTCTCTATACACTTCCACAACTTAATTTATACCTACAGCCTCAAATATAACTAATACAATTGAGCATTTATGTGTCAGGCAGTATTTCAGGAGCTTCACATTGATTTCTACATTTCTAAAAAAACAAATAAATCTGAAAAGAACACATATACACAAACCTTTGAGAGGGAAAACAAACATAAAAAATACTACTATCCCCACTATAAAGCCAAGGAAGTAAAGGACTACATTGGCTAAGTACATTGCCTACACAGCTCATGAGTGGTGGGCCCAATATTTACAATCCCTGACATGTGCTTTACATGGCATTATGCTACACTTACCTGTGGGATAAACTGAGAGTCTAAAAATTTCTGTCTCTACAACTGACCACTTCCTAGTCGTGATCTAACTATATAGCTGCTTGCCATCTTCAAAGGACATCCTTCAGATACCATTAACTCAATATGTTTAAACTAAACTCATTTTTTTATCCCTCAAAATTGGTATTAATGCTTTGTATCTTCCATCTGTGGAGATCTTTTGAAAACAGCTTTACTCAGATCAAATTCATATTCCATACACTTTACTTTTTTAAAAAATGTATTACAGGGTCTCACTATGCAGGTCGGACTCCTAGTGATCCTCCTGTTTTCAGCCTCCCCAGTGCTGGAATTACAAGCATGCACCCCAACACCCAGACTTGGTATGGCCAGCTCAGTGGACCCAGGGGCTGGGTTGGAACAGCATATGGTGCTGAGGATTGAATCCCCGGTCCCTGTGCTTGCCTAAGGAGGTGTTTAGTCTGCTGAGATATTTCTCTAGCCCTGTCTTTTTTTTTTTTTCTTGAGACAGGATCTTGCTATGTAATATAGACTGGGCTTAAGCTCACTGTATAGCCCATGTTGGCTTCAAACTGTTAGCAACCCTCCTGCTTCAGCCTCCTGGGTGCTAGCATTACAGGCATGTGCTACCACACTTAGCCTGTTACTATTTTATTTTATGGTTCTAGGAATCAAATTCAGGACCTTATGCTTGCCAGGCAGACACTGTGCTGCTAAGCTATATCCCTGACTCTCATCACTTATTTTGAATGTATAAATTTAAGTACAAAGACTTGTATAACCATCCCCACTCTCAATTTTAGAACATTTTCATTTTAAAAAGTTCTCTTCAATATTTTCTACATCTGTAGACTACCCTATTCTGGACATAAAAACTTTTTTTCTATTTTTGTTATTTATTTATTTGTACAGGGTCTCACGCAGCTCAGACTTGCAGTGATCCTCCCTCCTGTGTCAGTCTCCCCAGCACTGAGGTTACAGGTGTGTTCCACCATGCCCAGTTGTAGCGCTGGGCCAGGTGTGCCCAGGGTTCCAGGCCCAGCACGGCATGTGGTATCAGGAATCGAACCTGGATCCTTGCACTTGCCAGGCAGGCGCTTAGACTGCCAAGCTATTTCCTCAGCCCCACTCCTTTTTTAAAAAGAAAATAAAAAATAAGAAAAAAAGAACAATAGAAACTATACAGAATTTCAAAACAAGATGATAGGAAATTATCAATAGTTATCATATTGCACAATGTTATCTTCAAGGTAGTTGTTCAGATTACTAGATGAAAAAATAATTAAATAATTAAGCATTAACTTCTTTCAATAAACCAATAGACAGAGTCTTTCTATGTAGTTCAGACTGGCCTCGAATTCACTACATAGCTTAGTCTGGCCTGGAACTCACGGTGATCCTCCTGCCTCAGTCTCCCAAGTACTGGGATTATAGGTATGCATCACCATAACTGACCTGGAGATAGAAATCTTTACGTCAACATTAGCCATTCCCTGCTCCAATACCTTCCAACCCAGTAACAAATTATATACCTTATAACACTGATTACTTGCAGTAGTAAGTTTTGTCTTTCCTGCCCAACACACTTTCAATCCAAGTACTCATTAACTCTTAGCCCAATTCCTTTACTTAGTAGTTCCTCACTTCTTTCTTTCATCCACTCTGTACAGTGCTTCTATAGGCTCCTTCCAACCATTCAACAGTTTCCCACTACATATAGAATAAAGGTGACACTACTTAATATGGGCACTCAAAGTCTTTCACATTTAACTCCAACTACTGTTGACCATCCATTGCACACCAGTCATATTGGTTTATATGAAAAATGCCTGACACGTGTGTCGCATTTTATAGTTAGCAGTTCTCTGGCAATATTTTTAAATTTAGCACTCACTTTGGATTACATGTTTTTATATAAGTAATATATGTTACTAGATAAATCATATATAAATGCTTTCCTAAAATTGGGATATAATAGATCAGTCTTCAAAAGGTAACTGAATAGAACACATCATCAAAAGGATATGGAAACTGATGAAATCCTGTTCAGCTGGCTGGAAAAGATCTTTGGGCTGGGACACAGAGCAGCAGCTGGAATCATTATCAGGTCTCCCAACAAGTCCATGCCAGCCACATCTTCAGGAATTAAGAGCCTTACTGGATGTCCTAGCACAGGGTGGATTCTGCTGCAATGTGATTCAGCTGTACTGAATTTTAGTCTACAGTCAGAAAATAGATGAGACACATTTAACTTTTTTTGCTCTTAAGAAATTATTTAAAAGGACATTCAAAATTCTTTTTATAATATCTGGCATAACCATATAACCTACAATTTCAGTTTTAGCTGTTTAAGTAACTTGTGTCTCACTTAGAGAATCTCAGCAGTGGGAAGAATAGACAAGTGGGCATTTCTTTTTTTTTTTTTTTAAATATTTATTTTTATTTATT